TTCCAAAATTTTTTTGTATCTTTAGCTTTTAATAATTGATCACTCATCTCAGAATAATATTTCCTCTTTTTGGCTTTAATTAGGTTTTGATATATTTTTTTGTTTCTTATATATTCTTTCAGTGTTGACTCAGAGTTTATTTTTCTAAAATATTGTAAACTACGTTGTTTTTTAATCTTATTTAAATAACAACTCTTATCAAACCAAATTTGTTTGGGATGTATTCTTTTAATGTTCCAAGAGATTTTATATCGAAATTGGTTTATTATATTGACTAATTTATCATATTCCTGCACAGCCGTTATATTACTATCTCTATATTGTATCATCAACAATTGATTGTTGAATTCTTTTTTGAATTTTCCCAGATTAAAACTTCTTTTCGTCTCTCTTTTATAAATTCGATTATTTTTTTGAGTATCTATCCTATTTTTGTGTGGGGCTTCTTTGAATTCTAGTTGTACAGGGAAGTGGTCTGACATATCAATATTTAAGACTCTAAATTCTTTAATCATATTTAGAGCAGTTTCCGAACAAATTATATAGTCAATCACAGATTTGCCTAAGGTAGACAAGTAGGTATATTCTGCAGGACAGTCATCTGGGAGTCGTCCATTCAAAATGTATAGATTATTATCCTGTACAAATTCAAGTAATGATTTTCCTCCTGAGTTATTGACTTTATCCTTAGACTTTCTAATATTGTCAATAATTCCATTGTTATTTTTGTTTTTTGTATCCATTACTTCACCTATTCGACTATTAGCATCTCCCCCAATTATCCACAAATCTGTAATATTAGTTCGTTGTATTATCTTATTTTGAATTTCTACTAAGGTTCTCTTTTTATCGGAATTTGGTGGGAGATATATAAGTATAATTCCTATACGTGTTTCTCTCCAACGTGAACTTAAATGTTGACAGAGTTCTAATTCAGCTAAGACGTAATTGTTTTCAGCAATCCAAAATTTCAATTTACCTAGATTTTTATTAATTAACAATAAGAGACCTCCAAAAGGCCGACCAAATTTACTATTTCTTTGACCTTTACTTTCCAATACTAAGAAAGTTCGTTCTAAATAAGTTTTATCTTCTATTTTTAGCTGGGTCAACCAAGTTTCAGACAAACCAACAACTGTATTGGAAATCAAGTATTTATAAAAAGTATTTGTGTATAGCTTATTTTGGATACCTTGTATATTCCAGAATCCAAAACGAATTTTGGAATTATATCTTTTTGTATATTCATCTTCTTCTAATGGTAATCCAACTACTGAATTTGTCAGATCTATTCTATGTCCTTGTTGGTTATTATTTTCCAGCATTTCTTGATTTATAGAATCTTCTATTTTTTGATTATACATAGAAATGGAGGTTTTTTTGATATATTTACTTAATAGTACTTTTAATTTTGGCCTAAAAAACCACCTACACATATCGCTTTTTGTAAGTGGAGATCATATGTATAAATATTCTCTCCCTTTATATAATAATCATCTCTCATTATTATTTTAATGCCTTTGGCTTTTTCCTGTTGAATTATTGGTATCAAATTTTTTCTTCTCAATCTCGATCTTCTACAGAGATCTGTTTTAAATATAATTTTTTTGTATTCGTCTAAATTAATTTTTGCTCTCTTAGACCAGAATTCTTTAAGTATTAAGTTCCTGTCGTATGTTGAGGATAGAATTATTTTCACCATAGGCTTGTATTCATTATTAGTTAATTTAATTATACTATCTATTGAACTATTTGTTATACCTAGTTCTCTTGATAAAAATTGTTCAATTTCTTTTAGATATTCCGGAGTTTCGAACGGAAAATTAATAATTACTATATTTTTATTCGTTTTCTCATTAACTAATTGATCTATTTCAAACTCTAGCTCACCTTTTGTGTGGGAATTATCCTTAATTATTGAATCCATTTCTTCCAATTCTTGTGCTACTCTTTTGGATTCCAATTGGTAAACTCTATTTTCTTCTTTCAGATAATTAACTTCTGATTTGATATTTTGTAATTCGATGTTTAGTTGATTAAATTTTTCTTGAATCAAATCGTATATGGACTTCAACGAATATTTTTGTTCTTCTGTTGTTGGAGTGTCTGCTCCCTGGACCGTATGAAAGTAGTCTTGTATTTTTGGAGTTCTCTCTTCGTTTAATTCCTCTCTATCATACTCCTGTTCTTCAGGCAGAATTTCTTGACTGGAATTAGTCCCAGATATTCTTATTTTTTCTGTGGCTTTAGGAATGACACTACGCGGCCTCCCACGCCCCTTCTTTTGCATATCTGTGTGGCCGCCACGTTGAGGAGATCTAGGCAGAGGTCCTGGATTAGGTTCTATACCAGAAATAAGTAATAGGTATACTATTACCAGCCAAGAAGAATATTTGTTATACTTCCGCTTAAATTGAGGTAATATTTCCCTCCAAAAGTGAATCATTATCACAATATGTTGTATCAACTCTTCTCCTGAGATTATCGCGCCAACACCTTCGACAGTCGAGACACTCCCCCAACAGAATATAATGAGAAATATACTCATGAGATATATGATCTTCTTGAAGTACAGTAATAACAAAAATATAAATTTTCTGTAAAGATTCTCGTTACAATATCTCAAATAAATATAATAAATCTGTCCATCATCTTATAATTTAAACTGTTAATTAAACAACACAATGTTATAAACAACTTCAGTAATAGATTAATTAATTTCTATTATGTCAATCATTATTTCTGCAATCCTATGATTAAATGATTAAAAGAAGTCCTCAGTGTTCACAGGATGGAAAAAGTCAAAAATAAAATAGAAAATAAAAAGTTATATTCTTAACCTGCATTTAATATAATTTTATTAGTAACACATCTTCACTTTTTTTTGTCATTGGAAAAAAATTCTTTCCAGATATAATCCTGATTTCAATTTTACATAAATTTAATTTTTGGTCTAGTTTAAAACTATATTTAAGTATTAACAATTGATTCAAAATACTCACTGACAAAAAAGTTATGCACCCAGAAAGTTATGCACCCAGATAAAATTGTCTACTGCAAAACTCAGCATACAACTGTGTCTCAGACAGATTTGTAAATGATTACAGTTGTGATCCAATTGCACACCAGAATATAACCAGAGTGCCTTAAAATTGTTATTCTACTATCCTGTAAAAAGATTTGCAGAGGCTCACTGTGTTCAGAATTTTCAGTGCAATGTACAGTACCTGTTATTTGGAGGTTTTTGAATATCAGACATGCCTATGTAATGCAAAAACATTGCATACAGCAGTTTGAGAAAAGCCACATAATCTAGCTGAACGAAGATGACCATTTTGCCAAATTGCCTGCCATTATGGGCTATTTTGAAGAGATGTTAGGACTGTTAGATATGGTAGGGCACACGTCTTGGATTTCTCAAACAGACCAACAGGAGAAATGATTGATTATGACACAAGCATGAGCAACTACAATGACATCTTTGTACAGATGGAAGCCTAATATAGTATTCTCTCTCTCCCATACCATTGGCAAGAGACTAGCAAAGGAAAATTTCCATGCATGGTTCATGTTACAAGTTCTGCTATTAGCCGCAATCACCATCAACTTCATTTGCATTGATGCCATGACAGAAAAGCATTGAGTGCTATGTATTGACAATGTATTATCTTTAGCAACAAATCCCAGTTCTGTTTGGGAATGATGATCATTATGTTAGTGAGTGGAGAACCACTAGTAAATATTCCAATTTGCCTATACTGTCAAATAGTATACTGTCTCCATTGCTGATGTGTTGATATGGGAAACCCTTTTGTATGTCAGTCAGTAATGATACAAGGGACATTGACAGCACAATGGTACATTCAGAAAATCCTGCACCCTCACGTGTTACCTTTTAAGACTTACTTCTAACCCAAAACCAAAAATGGTGCTTAACTTGACAGTATATCTAGACGTACTGTTGAGTTATGCACCGTTTTTGGTTTTGAGTTAGAAGTAAGTCTTATATTTTGCGGTGTGTTTTGATGTGTTTGTGTTACCTTTCGTGATAGGGCTGCAGACATTCATTTTCCAGAAAAATGATGCTTGGCTTCACCCAGCTAGGATTTTCCAGAATGTCTCCATCACTTTGCCACATTTCCTCAGCCTACCAGGTCTCCAGATTTCATGCCCATAAAGCATTAGTGGAACCAGATGAGATTCTGGCTTCAGTCATCTTCAAGTGTAACATCTGGATAAGCAGTTATAATATCTGTGGGTAAATCTGTTGCAAGACAGTATACAGTGCTTGTATGCTTTCATACCTGACTGTATTACCTTATGTATTCAAGCAAGAGGAGGTTCTATAAGGTACAGTATCAAAGGTTTCTTTAAATTGTATCATCATTCCACAGAAAATTGCTCCTATGCTATGATATTTTAAGCACTTATAACTATTGTCATTACATTCACACTAATACAGTTTCATTCAATTCCAATGCCTTCTTGGTACTGCACTTTTTGTCAATATTTTTGAGCATATTTACATATTTTTATTTTTGAGCATATTTACATATTATTTATATTTACATATTTTGAGCATATTTATATAATATATGTATTCATTTACTCATTTACTTACTTTAAAAAAATATACTAATTTATTTTTGTTGTATAATAAACAATAAAATACAATCATACCTTAAAAGTAAGTCTTGTTTTCACTCTGTTAGCCAAAGCATTATTAATTGCTTTATCAAACTGCAAGAGAATCTTCAATGCTAATTGTGTTGTAATTTGTCCACACTGTAAAATAAAATATTTGTAACCTATCTTAATATAATACATTTTTATAATGTAATAATATAATATTAACTGAATAATTTCCATGGTATATTAGAGATAGAGAACTTTTGACATTAAAAAATATAGTATCTCTCCACTATCACAGATATGCATTTAATAATGCATGGATATAACAGACTTTGCATTTTCTGTTTGTATGGTGGTAATTATTGAATAATGGATTTGAATCATCTTTCAACAATTGTTGATTTTCCACTTTAGTTAACATGGAATTAATATTTTTGAATATTAATTTGAAATTTTTATATTTTTATATATTTTAAATTTTCTAAACTTTTAGTGAATTTTTTTTGCATATTTNTTTGAAAAATTTTCAAACTGAAATTTATGGATACATTATTTCAATATAATAATCAACATTAACTCCAACTTCTTATAAAACATTTATGAGTTTGTTATTCTTAACTAAAACAATAAATTCATGAATTATAAACAATTTTATAAACATCCTTAATGTTTATAAAATTGTTATTTTGTTTAGAAATTTCTTTCTTCTTTTACTAAATGTAATGAACATAGAGATTATTTTAGTAAATAAAACAATTTTACAAATGTCTCAACAAATTTTAGCTGATAATGAAACTTCACTCTCTTTCATCTTTTACACTAGATCCTGAAATATAAAATAAATTTATGTTAATTTTTTAAAATACTTTAAAAATTTAATACAGTACTAAAATTTATAGTAATTATAGATATTGTTATATGAAGGCGGATTGATAAATAAGGTCTCCATTTTTTATAATACTTGTTCAGAAAGAAGTAGCTAATGTGACTAGTTTTAAATAGTAATAAAAATCATGTATTTTATGTTGAAAAATAAATATTTATGATTGATTTATTGATATTTGATATTTATGACCTTTTAGAATGACAATTTTTTTAGACATTCAATCATTTTTGCATTCTGTACATGAAAAAACTTTCTGGTTTAGCCTTGATCATATTCATACAACAGCTTGTTGAATTTCAGGATCCAATGAATTATTGACCTTTCAATGCCACCAGAGGAGAATGTGAAACAATGTGTAGCTTTAATTCTTAAGCATATTTACTGTGTTTTTTTAGTGTAGTATAAATTTACATAGTAAAGGCAGAAAGAATTATCTTTTTCTTGCACTATGAGAATATGTCCAAAACACTGTGAATTTCAATAGATACACAACTTTTTAATGCTAAGATTTCAATCATTAATCACTATTTTCTATGAAATGAAGAAGATGAATTCAAGCTTAAACATGACTGCAACAAACAACACAGAACAATGAACTAAGACTGCATATACAGATTAGATATTTCTGGTTATTATATGATTGTAGTTGTAAGTTTATCTAAACAGTTTGCAGAATGCTATGGTAGGGAACCTATTTATCAATCAACTCTTCTATAATAGATTTTAGTCCTTTCATATCTGTTACTGATAATTTCTTTTACATTTTTTACAATCTAGTAAATTGACAGAAAAAAGAAAAACAATTTATCTTTCTATAGTCTTAATTTTATTAATTATAAAAAGAAAATATTACATAATATAAAATCAGTATAAAATTTGTATATAATTACTTATATGTGTAGTAAATATCATTGGTATCATAATCCAACATTTCATTGAACTTTTTAAAATTCTGAAATATTTTAATGTTAAATTTATTTTGCTGGTCAATTGTTTTAAACTGACAATATTTTGTATTAAATTTTTTTTTTTTTTTTTAAATTCTTCAGACCAAAGATTTGATCTCAAGATGGTAGTAACAGACCCAGCTGATCTGGCCATGGCCAGACCACTTTTTGCTACCAACATTACAAATACAGTTCTAATTTCAAATTACCCACTAGCAGTCAGACCAAACCAATGGAATGTCTAATTGAAAAGTCTTTTTCCATAGGGAGAGAGTTATCTCTAAAGGCTGGGTTATAAACTCCATTTGTTATCTATACGGCTGTACCATATTCCATAAAAAAAAGTTTGGATGCATCAAACTTTTACAGTTTAGTATGGAGAATCTTTAGACTACACATGTGCCATGTTGCCTTTCAATCAGAAGTTGAAAGCTGGAAGTAGCTGACGAGACATGGACAGATCAAGAACACAATAGAAATGGAATGACAAAAATATGTGGCATGTTGCATTATTGGAAATTATCACAGGAGTTTATATCATTAATAAAAAGCAGAAGTTTATTATTATTAAGCAGGCAGTGTCAACAATGGTAAGTGAACCCCATCAATATAAACAGACCACCAGTCAGATGTTTATGTTTGGCTGTCAACATATCAATAATAATATTTTGATTTACTACAGCTTTCTTAGTTTCCTTTTTTACAGTTTGATAGTTTTACATAACCTTGAATTTATATATGTCAAAATTATCTTATATAAAAAGAAAAAAATGTGAAAATTCAATATATGTCATGATCAGAATGTATTATAAAATTTGAATAAATATAAACAGAATTAGTAGAATGAATTGTAAAAAATAATGTCACCAATCAGCACTTTACTTTGTTCAACCAATATTTTAGAAATATTTATCTTAAATATAAAAAACCTCATAGTAATTTTTAGATCACCAGTAGATCTTATACATTTTTTCTTAAGTGATGGTTGAATTCTGAAATGTTTATGTATGCAAATGTAATTTATTCACCATAAATGTGGTTTACCAAATAAAATAAAACAACATTTTTTGGAATACCATTCAGTTTTATTATTATTCATGGAATTCATTCATAATTCCCTAAAAACTCTAAAATGGCTACTTTAAAATTACTTTTTTCAGTAACATTCATTTTCTTTATTATTTCAGTTATGTTTGTAGAAATTGAATATGCAAATATCTGATCACTTGTGTGACTGTCACTGCTGCAAAGTTGCCAGAACTGGCTGAATAGTGGTTAAAGCATTCATTATGCTCCAGATCATTGGCAGTTTCCATCTGTCTACTTCTCTTTCCTTTTATTCACATGATACCATCAGCTAGTGGTATCATAGATCTGACATTGTCACCTGTCAATGTAGATGAGGTACCATCATTGGATGTATTACAACTCTCAGTCCTCTCTGACAATGAACAAGATGTCCTGTCTCCTGATGTACACATGGCATCTTATTCATTGTCTGAAACATCCAATTTGTTTAGTACATCAAATGTACTTCAGGATGATATGTCTACATCCTGAGTCTGTCTTGTAAGAGAAAAGTCTGTATGACTTTTGTCTTATAAGAAAGGACATTCTTGTATGACTTGTAGTAATAGCTCATCACCTAAATATTCAATGGTGTTTGCCATAATACTAGAGCTTTGCTATTGATGCCAGTGATACAGCATTGCTAGGTTGAGCAAAAACAAAAAAACAGATTAGGTCAAATGTAACTTTTGACTGATTCATGTTACTTTTGAACAATATAAAATTTAAAGTAAGAGTTACATTGGTCATAAAGAAAACAAAAAAATAAATGAATATATAATTATAGTGTAGATCTGGCAACATCAAAGAGATATTTTCTCCAATTTACATCAAGAGTGCACATGCATACAGTGGTCTGCCTCATACATTGTAAAAATGTTTGGTTCCTTATGGATACAGACTTATGGTATTTTATAACTACTGCCATAAGTACTATCATTGCAAACACTTATGGATACAGATACAGTTATGATATAGAGTTTATAACCAAGTCCTTAAAGCATTGCTTTCCCCCCATCCTGGAAACACAAATTTATACCAAGGGAAATTTAGAAATTAGAAAACTTTCGAAATAACTAGGTAAGTATTAAAAGTAAAATCTATTATTATTATTATTATGTGTTGGGTTTAGTGGGTTATACTCGGTACACACCGGTGGCTGTGTACTATGCCGGACCAGAGTCAAGGCATAGCAACCAAAACAAAACTAAAATTAAATGTGTGTGTCAGTGTCAGTATTAAGAAATTTCCTAACAATATGGCATGTATTCAATATAGTGGCCTTCTGTAGTGTGATGTATGTATTTCTACTCAATTGTAATGTTCCCAGGCTTTTGTGTAGCATGTGTGGTATCACACCTGTACAGGAGAGAACGACAGGTACAATAACTACCCTATCCATCCTCCACAGATGCCTTATTTCCT